GGGCAAATTCTCTAGGCAAGCAACTTTTTTTTTTCTTTGCTACTATTCCTCTTTACAAACATTTAAACGGAAAAGTAAAAGATGACAAAAAATAAACTCTCTTCTAATCTCACTATCTAGAGAAAACACCTCTTTCTCATTCTTTGATGTTGTTTTATGCCTTTTGACATATCTACATAATGGAGAATACAAGATTTTACATCTTAATTTTATCAATAACTAGTTTAATTGTGTGCATTTAAGATATGATAAATTTTTTTATGATTTAAAAATAATTGCTGTCTGCATCTATTATGTGAATGAACTATAATTAATTTAATTGTTCTCTTATTGTGGAAGATTTTCCTTTTCTCTAAACCTTTTTGATAATCTTGCCCTGAACACTTTTGTGCATATTTTTTCTACATTTCTGATTAAAGTGATATGAATTGAGTACTTACTATGTATCAGGCACCAGGCTTAGTCCTGAAATTTAGGAAAACTAATATTTAGTCTCTGGTCTGAGAGGTCTTTACCCAGGAGGAAGAGACAAAAGAATGAAAACAAGACAAAAAGAGAGTTGATGAATTTAGGTATAGAGGGAGTTTCAAGATGTTATGTGAGCCAAGGAGGGGTGACCACCCCTGACTGGAGGCAGCGAATCAGAGGCGTGTTTTTGGAAAAGGTGGTATTTGGGTTGACCAGCTGAGTGCCAGCCCTAACTCCTAAGTCTTGCCGTTGTGGCAGCCTCCCCAGGCTTTGACCTTGGAATTTATCTTGATCTGCTTGGATTTAATTTGATGCTACTGCTCTGTTGACCAGTAGATGAGCTTACTCTGTCCCTACGTGTCTTTAATCTCTGAGCGACATTGTCGCCCCGCTCTGTGAAGCACATGGCTTCGATCCAGTCCACATGTGGTGGCTTTGCTGCCATAGTGATGGTCTGTGGGATAATGGTAAATATTTAGCAATGCACTGACTTTGCCCCTTATTTGTAGTGTTTGCTGATTTCCATGCTATAAATAGTTCTACTGTGGCAGATTTCAAGCTACCTATGTGAACATGGAGTTGAGAAGAGATGTACAGTAGCATATTGTTGTGTAATATTTCTACCACACAGCTATATAATGGTCACAGATAACCTTAAGAGTACGGATAATGAAATTTAGTAAAATAATTATGAAATAATGAATTTTGAATATTTATTACCTTCATTTTTAACATGATTAATTTAATTGTAATTTTACATAATTCAGTTTTTAATCATGGATGTGTTTAGCAACAGGCTCATAGAACTCCTGAAAAGTCAGCTCTAGATCTTCCCTGTATACCCATCTTAAATCAGCTTCTCCGAAACTGTTAACTGTTCTTATGACATCCCTTTTAAAAACTTTATTTCTTGGCCGTTATCAGAACTAAGTGTATTTTGACTTTTTGGCGGGGGTGGGGTGGGGGGGTCTATTTGCTTACCAGCCCTGTCTCCTAATAGAATGTGAGATCAATGAGAGCATGGACTGTTCTGCTGTCCAGCTTCTAGAACTGTGCTTGACCCATGGTATGTACTCAACAAATATTTGTTGAATCAATGAGTATATAAATGGCAATACTCAGTGACCTCATTCTGATGTTGACAAGAAGGGATAATAATGTAATAGCTCCAGAGCTGTGAGATCATATATACACGTTTCATTTAATAAGCCTTTGGTCAAATGTACTTGATTTACCAACTGATTTTATTATGGCCCAAAGAAATGTCTAAGTTCTGCCAAGAATTCCTGGAATAGCCTGCTATAAATGACATTTCGATGCAAACCATGACTTCATGCATTAATTGCATTTAGTTCGTGTGGGCTCTTATTGATAGCAATCTTCAGTTTTCTGGGTTGTCTGTGTGGGAAAAGTTAGACTAAAAAGAATGACACAAAAATGAGGTTCTGAAGATGCTCGCAACCAGATAACTTTGCAGGATGGAAATTTCCCATGTTTTTGCAATGATATATTGCATTGTTCCTTAAATTCTGATAAGAAAAGCACAGTTCTTGGACAGATAAATCCATTTTAAATATTCCCATGTTTCTTGTATTGTTAGAACTAGATTTGGCTGTGAGTGACAGAAGTTTCAAAATAACAGGGATTTAAGAAACATAGAAGTTAATTTTTCTCCTAAATCTAAGTCTAAGTCAGCAGCGCAAATCTACTGGAATGATGTTTTATGGCGTCAAGAACCAGGCTCCTTTCATCTTGATTCTTTTTGCCATGAAAAACATGGCTCCCATTCCTAAATTTACCTCACAACCCAAATGGCTGTTCAAGCTCCATTGGGCATTTCTGTATTTTGACCCACAAGAAAGAAAAAGTAGAAGAAAGACATGCTTCCTTTAAGGACACTTCTTACATGTTGCACAGATGACCTTTTTCTTGCATTTCTTTGGTCAAATGTTAGACCTGTAGCTACACCTAGCTGCAAAGAAGGCTGAGAAATGTAGTTTTTATTCTGGGAAGCCCTGGGGCTGGCTAGCTAACCTTCAGAGCTTCCATTTCCATAAGGGAGAAGGAAAGAAAACAGGGTGACTAGCCATATATGCCCACCTCTCCTTGGTCACTGAGAGTGTCTCAGTGGTTTATAAGCTGACTTTTTGGATGCTCCATCTAGATGTCAGCACAATTTTCTTAGGGCCCAGCACCATCCTTGTTAGTAACAGCAACACATTGTATTCCATCCAAATTAAATTAGAATTTAGTTTAAAAGTCATCTACAAAATACATGTGACAAGCAATCTCATCTTAAGTGAGTTTTTTATTTTAGTGCATGGGTACATTTCACTTTTTTTTTTTTTTTGCCAGAGTAATTTTTTTTTTTTTTTAAAGAAGATATTAGTGTTTTTTTTCTGAGGTAGCAGACAATTATGTATGCTTTCCTCCCCCCAACCCAGATCTGGGGCATTTTTATGTGAGATGGGAATTGAGAATTCCACTTTTAGCTGGTGTGAGGAGAAAAAAGAAGTGTTATTATTTTGTTGTCCTAAAAAATCGTTATTTAAAAAAGAAACAAAAGAGTATTTAAGAGCCAGCAACTTGGTATCAGGTGAAACACAGTGTGACTTTGGACTAATTTAAACTTTCTGGGCCTCAGTTTCTTTATCTATAAAGTGGAGATGAAGAGTTCATAGGATTGTTGAGCAGAAAAAAATGAAAACTTTCGTGTGGAGAACTTGGCACAGTGTCCGATATGTAGTGTGCGTGGAAATAAGCAGCTGTTTGTGCTTGTTCTTAGTTATTGCGTGCCTTTTATATTGCAGATGCTATTGCAGGGTCCTATTCATCGTTCTTCATATACCAGCAGCATCGAGGGAAGAAATGATGTTTATAAGGCAGTCCTGGAGCAGAGGAAGACTCTTTATTTTATGTCCACCATACTAGAAACATAATGGAGTCAGATAAAGGATTCAGGTTCTCCTGAGTGTCAAGTCAAGGTCTTGTCCTTCCAATGCAACAACACTCAGCTTCCAATTTACCATAATAAATATTAATCAGACACCCGAGGACTCTTGGATAGAAATTATATGCAATTATGTCTGTATCCTTTGGAGCCAAGTAGAAAGCCTGGCGTATTAAAGAGGCTCAAGGAATCTTAAACAACAACCCTTAAAAACCCCATTTTAAAGACAAAGAAACTGAGGCATGGACTTGACCAAAGCTACATGGCTAATTGGTGGTGGAATTCATTTGTTCTGAATGAAATCTGAGATTTTTGTTGTTTATGGCAGATGCTTGGTCATCTCATCAAAGAACTGTGGGAGGGGAGGAGGTGGATTTCTAGCAACCTCTATTATTGGCTTATTTTTTCTCAGTTCATTACTCTCTCCTAGGTAAATATTAGGCAGTCACTCAAAGCCTGGATGTCCCTGATTTTTTACCTCTTTGCTGAACTTCTGATCTTGTGGTGTTTTTTAGTACTTTGTTTTCTCCCCAATGGCAACAAATGGCTTATCTCAGTTTCATAATCTGAAAAAATAGGGTGAATGACATCTGCCTGCCTACTTAGAGTCTACTCTGCAACACCCGCCAGCTCACTCCTAGCCCATTCATTATTTTAATTTCTTCAGAAGGCTGAGCTCTGACTAAACTTATTTATTTTCTGTCTTCTTCTCAGAATGGCAGCATGGTGGGTGAAGCAGGGTCCTCTGCTTCCTTCACTGCTGTGTCCCCAGTGCCTAGAATATTGTCTGGCACGCAGTAGAGGTCCTCAATAATTATTGTGGTCACATGCTTTTAAACAATATCTTCCATTTACTGAGGGTTGAACTATGTAGTAAAAAACTACACTAAATGTTTAATGTGCTACCTCATTCTTCTTATTATTCATGTTCTTCAAACACCCTGGCAGTGTAACTCTGCCATCCGTGTTAGGGCACTCCCAGCAGTTAGGTAACTAGCTTGAGGACACATGGCTGGATTTCCACTCAGGTCTCTCTCTTTCTTACCTGTGCTCTTTTGCAGCCACGCTCCACGTCACCTTGTATGTAGTTTTCTGAAGTCAAAGCCAAGAAAGGCAGTTTGCTTACTGGTTAATAGAAAAGATCAAAGGGCGGGGGGGGAATCACAATTAAGGATCTTGGCTCTGCTTTTGTGGGCAGAGGGCAGGGGAGAAAGGATTATTTCTTATCATTGTTATCACCAGGTGGTTGCAAGTTTAGTCCAATGCAGAAACCACGTTTCCCGTGCTTCTGAGAGTCCCGGAAGAACCAAATCTGTCTAATCGCCAGCTCACAGGTGACCTTGTGCTTACGGGGCTTATTCCTCCATCCTGAGGGGCAGCCAAGTCAGGCTTCCTGGCCACATCCTCCCTGCCCCCTGGCGGTGACCTACAGCTCATTGCGTCAGGACGATGCTCGAGGGAGGCGTCGCTGTGGCAGGGGATGTCTTTGGAATCTGTCCCCTCCTCTCTATTGTCAGGTTAAAAGCCTCAGCACCACGTGCTGTTGACAAAGCTGCCTGCGACCGACCGCCCGGGAGCCAGCATGACGGCTGCCGTCCTGGAGAGCAGAGGCTTGAGCAAGAAAGACTACTATTTCGGCCAGGTGAGCCAGGGTGGCCGGCTCTCCGCTGCGCAGGGAGGGGAGTTGGACTCCCGGAGGAAAGAGGTCTGAGGGGATGTTGTTTCCTATTCCCCTAAGCCCAACGCGAAGTCCGGATTCATTTAAAGACAATGAAAACGTCCCAGAAGTCAGCACATAAACACGGGTTCTCAACAATTGTTTCCCAGGGAGGACATCTGTCCCGTGTGGCTCCCAGGGGAAAGGGCCATGCTCTAGGGGTTGGGGATCTGGCTTCTGGCGCTGCCACCAGCCTAGCTGTGTCTTTGGACAGGTGCCCCTTCTGCCCTTTTGCCCACTTTCTCTTCTGCGCTTTGAAGGGGCTGGTGCTGAAAGATCTGGAATTCCAGGTGGGATCCTTCTGGGTCTTCCCTTGTGCGATGTTTACAAGGTGCTCTCAGCCAGGTATTGAAATGGCAAAATTGTATCCTCTTTCCGCCTTTGGGAGAATACGAGGCACGATGAAGGAAAGGAGGCATGAAGAAAGTCTCAGACTCACTCAGACCTGGGGAAGGAGAAAATTAAAGAGAGGAAAATGAACAAGGGCTAGCCTTGGACTTGGAATGTGAGAGAGCCCTAAAGGTGACTTGAGGATAATGCCCAGGGCACGTCCCATTTTCTGGGATTTGATGTCTTTCTCTTGAGGCGAACAACTACAGAGTACATTCTTTAACTGACTTATCACACTCCTGGACTTAGACGTTCGGATTTAAAGTCAAAGCCAAGAAAGGCAGTTTGCTTACTGGTTAATAGAAAAGATCAAAGGGCGGGGGGGGAATCACAATTAAGGATCTTGGCTCTGCTTTTGTGGGCAGAGGGCAGGGGAGAAAGGATTATTTCTTATCATTGTTATCACCAGGTGGTTGCAAGTTTAGTCCAATGCAGAAACCACGTTTCCCGTGCTTCTGAGAGTCCCGCAAGAACCAAATCTGTCTAATCGCCAGCTCACAGGTGACCTTGTGCTTACGGGGCTTATTCCTCCATCCTGAGGGGCAGCCAAGTCAGGCTTCCTGGCCACATCCTCCCTGCCCCCTGGCGGTGACCTACAGCTCATTGCGTCAGGACGATGCTCGAGGGAGGCGTCGCTGTGGCAGGGGATGTCTTTGGAATCTGTCCCCTCCTCTCTATTGTCAGGTTAAAAGCCTCAGCACCACGTGCTGTTGACAAAGCTGCCTGCGACCGACCGCCCGGGAGCCAGCATGACGGCTGCCGTCCTGGAGAGCAGAGGCTTGAGCAAGAAAGACTACTATTTCGGCCAGGTGAGCCAGGGTGGCCGGCTCTCCGCTGCGCAGGGAGGGGAGTTGGACTCCCGGAGGAAAGAGGTCTGAGGGGATGTTGTTTCCTATTCCCCTAAGCCCAACGCGAAGTCCGGATTCATTTAAAGACAATGAAAACGTCCCAGAAGTCAGCACATAAACACGGGTTCTCAACAATTGTTTCCCAGGGAGGACATCTGTCCCGTGTGGCTCCCAGGGGAAAGGGCCATGCTCTAGGGGTTGGGGATCTGGCTTCTGGCGCTGCCACCAGCCTAGCTGTGTCTTTGGACAGGTGCCCCTTCTGCCCTTTTGCCCGCTTTCTCTTCTGCGCTTTGAAGGGGCTGGTGCTGAAAGATCTGGAATTCCAGGTGGGATCCTTCTGGGTCTTCCCTTGTGCGATGTTTACAAGGTGCTCTCAGCCAGGTATTGAAATGGCAAAATTGTATCCTCTTTCCGCCTTTGGGAGAATACGAGGCACGATGAAGGAAAGGAGGCATGAAGAAAGTCTCAGACTCACTCAGACCTGGGGAAGGAGAAAATTAAAGAGAGGAAAATGAACAAGGGCTAGCCTTGGACTTGGAATGTGAGAGAGCCCTAAAGGTGACTTGAGGATAATGCCCAGGGCACGTCCCATTTTCTGGGATTTGATGTCTTTCTCTTGAGGCGAACAACTACAGAGTACATTCTTTAACTGACTTATCACACTCCTGGACTTAGACGTTCGGATTTAAAGCCCAGCTCTGGGTGATGACGTGACGCTGTCGGCACCTGTCTGCAGGATTAGTGAGAATCCTCTGGAGACCAGGAAAACTGGAGAGCAGAGGGTGGTCGATGGAGGAACTGCAGAATTTTGGACTGACTTTTTTTTTTTTTTTTTTTTGAGTCCTGAGGGTAAAACTTCTTTTGAAAAGGTACACAGTGCTAGGGAGACAGCAGAACTTTGTGTTGAAGAGGGACAGATCCCAGACAGATCCTGGTTCTGTCATCATTTAGCTTCTGTGTTCCTGGCAGCAGGGCCCCCACAATCATCGGAGGAGCTTAGGGGCAATGATATGGTTAGGGAGCCATGATAAAGCACTTAGAAGACTGAGAACCACAAATTGTCACTCTTGGCGACTTGAGGTAAAGAGGAGGGTTTAGAACACACCCTGATACCTCCTCTGCTTGGAAAGCAGAGTATTTAACTTTGCACAGCCTCAAGTTTATTCATTTGAAAAATTGAAATAAAAATACCCACGTCCTAGGGTTGGTATGAGAATTAAATGAAATAATGTCTATAAAGCTCTTAGCACAGTTCCTGGGAGCATAAGAAACTGCCAGTGGTGTCTAGCTGGAACTGATTTATTTGTAACAAAACATGTCTGGAACACTGGCACTGAATCAGGCACAGTGACCGATATTGCTTTATCACGGAATGAAATTGGACATGAACTCAGGAGACCTGGACTCTCCTCTTTGGTTTACTTAAGCTGTGGATTGGGAAAGCAACCTAACTGGGGTGAGGAGGCATGGTTTGGTATCTGTAAAATTAGGGAGAGGGTTTGGACTAGATTAATCTTTAGCAATTTCTGACAGTCTGCTAAAAGGGCACAGTTTATGCCTTCAGGAAGCTCCCAACTCAGGTGAGGAGCACACACTGGGCGTAACTGATATAAGACTGGAGGGCACATGATATGTCAAGTGCTCTACACATGCAACGAACACAATATCCTGCAAGAAAAGTTGGCTCGTTCACCTGACAAAGACTTATTGAGCAACTTATTGAGTTTCTGTCCTGATGAAACTTGCATTGTAGTGGAGGAGACAGACAAAAAAATTAGGCAAATGAACATATAATTTCATGTAGAGATAAATGCTGTGAAGAAAAATAAAGCAGAGCAACAAAACAGAAGATAAGGGGAACTCAGAAATTGTAACTAGGAAGGGCAAGACCAGAGTCTGGACTCAGATCTGACTCCAACACCCTGCATGCTCCTCTTCCCCTATCGCTCCTTTCTGTAGATAACTGCCGGAATATAGAGATATAGTGTGTTCATGGTCGGATGTTTGTATCTTACACTGTAGATACATGTGAGAATAATCACACAGGCAAATATGCACCTCCTGTTATGGCCCCCAAAGCACTAAGTTTGAAAGGCAGTGCCCCTGGAATATCCTTGCCAAAGAGTATTATTGCTAGTAATTTTGAAAAGTGTTCTTTTCCAAAAATAATGTATGTATTTGTTAGACACAACCAAAGAGAATATATTTCTATTGTTCCATATATTGCTCAATGAACAAAATTCATTCCTTCCTGATCCCTAGTGAAGGTCATTCTCCCTGTCCTATTTTTTCCCATTTAGTGTCTGAGCTACTCTTCTCTACCTTTATCCATTCTAGATATGCCTGTGTATCGAAGTCAACTCACATGTCTGTTGGAAACAAATAAGGTATAGATTATGAGCCAATGGAAACAAATTCTGGAAGAGATTTGCCCAAGAATCTGAATCAACATAGCAATGTTGGAATCAGTGTCCACCCAAGGCCATATCATTTCACAAACTTCCACGGGCTTCCTTTCATTTAAAGTCCCTCAGGCTTTGAAAAGAGGAGCTATAGTCCCAGTCGAGTCTGTCACTGGGAGGTAGAATAAAGACTTCAAAGTCATTCAAGTCCATGTTCTGTAACTCTTGAGCTGTCCTTGGGTGTCCTTGGACAAGCCACTTAAACTTACTGAGTCTATTTCCTCATTTGCAAAATTACAGCACCCACTCGTTGGGACTACTGTGAGGACTAAGTGAACTACTACACGTAAACTCTCAGAACAGTGCTATTTGCTGCCCATAATGATATTTATTAACTGTAAAAAGTACCAAATAGGGTTCCTGGCTCATAGTGGATACTCAGTCAATGGCAAGTCCTACTATTAATATTCATAACACTAAAGCGTAGTGACTTATCATATGGTAAGTGTGCATTTGCTGACGCATTTGAGAAAGTCATAATTCAAAAAAATAGGCTGTGTATTTGTCAGTGGTTTCAAAACCTTCCATGATCAAGAATCATCTGGGATGCTTTTGAAAAGGCAGATGCTAAGATTTTACCCTAGATATTCTGATCTGATAGGTTTGAGAGGAGCCCAGGCTCCTGCATTTGAACAAGGAATCGCCAGGCAATTTTGGAGTGGAGATCCGAGGAACACACACTGAGAAACCTCAGTTAGAAAGTCTGGGGAAAAGGGAGAGTGGAAGGGCGCAGCCATGGGTAAGGGGCGGGACTGAGTAACTGATGATCAGACCAGCGTAAAGCCCTGACTTCGTAAGAGGCCTTAATATGGACCTTTTGTTCATAGCAGAGGGAGTTGTATAGAATGACTGATATTTAAGAGCCCGAGTTCTTGACCTGGCCCCCACTACCTGTGTGAGCTCATGTGAGTCACTTTTTTGGCCCATAGTTTCCCCACTTGCAAAATGAGGGTGTTGAACTGGGTGAACTCTAAAGACAAGTCCAACTTGGCGACTCAGTTATTATCAAGTTCCATGTGGGCATCAGAAGCCAAATGGAATGCATTGGTGGAGGAGGGATTGTTTCTAAGAGAAGTGAGATCTAAGAGGGCTTTTGAGGATGGCTGAGCTATTGGAAAGGGGGAGAGGGAGGCGCGGTGGGCATTTACTCCAATGAGGAGTTCAAAAGGCAAGGAGGAAATCAGTTTGTTGGGGATGAGGTGGGGAGGTTCCCATGGGTGGGCTCAAGAGACGCTGCAGGATCAGATACCTCCGTCTGATATTCAAGAGTCTCTTGAGCCCACCCATGGGAACCTCCCCACCTCATCCCCAACAAACTGATTTCCTCCTTGCCTTTTGAACTCCTGACTGAAAGTCAGACTGGACTCACTAGTTGGTTGGACATGCACAGGAGTGGGAAGGTGGTGGTGATGGAGTTTTGAGCAAGGTGCATTCAAGTCTGAATTGCCACAGTCATAAGTGACATCTTGGAGATGTGTCAAGAATATGTTACTTTTCTTGGAGGCAAACAGGATAAGAGAATGTTGACAACAGAACTAGAAACAGGGAAATCCTGTGTCATTTCAAGGAAACCAGCAAGGATTAAGGGCTCAGCATTCTCTGGTAGGAAGAAGGCTTCCATTAGAAACTCATCTGCATATCTTGGGCAAGGCTTAAAAGAGGGAAAAAGGCAGGGTAGAGTCTGCGAGAAGTTGTGATTCATAGACAATAAGCTGGGGTCAAATGGCCTGGATTCCTCTCCTGGTTCCACTGCTAACTGCGTAACTATGGGTAAGTAATTTAACTTCTCTAAGCCTTAATTTTGTCATCAGTAAAAGGAGGCACTTAGAGATTAATAAAATCTACCTTCTAGATTACTATAAAAATTAAATGAGATTATCCAAATTCAGTACCTGTGATATTATAGGCTCTTACTAAATGGTGGATTAAAAAGTTTTTAGAAAGATATCATCGTGGTCCATTTAGAGATCTACAACAGTTCAGCCTTCTAATTCATTTGCAGCTCTCTATAATCACACTAGCTGATAATTTAGGTTCTTCCCACACACCTGTTTCAGCTGAGGTTCTGGGAAAATCTGAATTTTCTGAATTGAAAGAATTTCTTCCTAAGGGTTGTCAGTATTCCAGCAGGGCTTATTATGCCAAGTCACTGATAGAATCTGCCTAGCACAACCTTCTCATTGAGATAATGTAACATCCATTTCACTAATTTCTTTAACTTACTTACAAGAGAGTAATTCTTCAAGCATATTTTTTCTTTCTGGTTTTAGGTATATGTTGTTTCTCTGTGGGCACACGTAGACCTCTACATATTATTATAAAACAATATACAAGTTTTTAAAAATTTCAGAAAACTTTCTGGAATGCCAACCCTAATCCCACCTTAATTTGCTGTCACACGCATGTAGAAAGTGCTTGATCCTTGACATTTTTTGCTATTTTATTTAAGATGCCCACCTTCCAACAGGGTATTTGTATACTTTTATGTATTTTGAGACTGTTTATGTACAACTGGATATCTAAAATCCTAGTGTATGAGAACAATAATGCTTCCCTGAGATCTTTGGCCAAGGCCGAGGATTCAGTCTTGTGTATTTATAATATTTCCATCATTTTTTATAAACTTACCTTAATATGATACTTAAACTATTTTATCTTTTTACTTTTTTCATCATCTGAGTGCTGTTTAGATGGGGCTTATTATTAGCATGATTTTACAGATGGAGAAACTAAGAAGGCTAAATGGTTTGTCCGAAGTGGTCCAGCTGGTAAATGGAAGAGAGAGGATCTCAAACCAGATCTTTAGACTGAAAAGCCTCCGTGTGTTCTATTTTTAGGACTTTACATGGTGTATTTTTCAGTGTTTTCCTGGAGCACTTTTTGAACCACCTCTAAGGATCTTTTTTTAGTTATTTGGTTTGCTGTGTATCTATTAAGCCCTATTTTGAGCTCTGAAGGATGGGGCATTATCTCATTCATCTTTATATCTCTCAGAACCCTGTCACCTGACACTTGGTAGGTACCCATACCCATTAAGAGATATTGAATCTATAGAGTGACTGGTCACATCAGTGAATAATTGAAACTTCCTAAAGTCAAAATCTGACCTAGAAGCATCGTTGAGAATATCACTGCCCTTGACTTACTGATTTTCCACCACACTATGTATTTCTGTATAGAATATAGGTAACTCACTATCTTCCAAGGTTTAACTGAAAGAAAGAGTTCATAATGGCCTCCCCCTTGGACATCTCATAGTAATGAATTGCTAAACTGTGGACAACATTTTAACCAAGTGTATATAATCCTGTAGGAGATAAACTATAATGAAGACAACACCAATAAAAAGGGTACCATAGCACTGATCTTCTCACTCAAAGAAGAAGTTGGTGCACTGGCCAGAGTCTTGCGCCTGTTTGAGGTAAGAGTTTTACTCGTTTCTGCCTTGGTTAATGGAATTGCTGAATTCTGTGTCATTTTCTAGTTGGATGCAGTGAACACAGGATCTGTAACCAGAAGACCTGATTTTCAGCTTAGGCTCTTATATTAACTGACTGTGTGACTTTTCGTTCTCTCTGAGCTTCAGATTCTGCATTCATAATCAGAATCATTCAGAATCACTAGTTGCACACCCAGGAAGCCAGCCCTGGCCTCAGACTTCTTTTTATCAAACTTTCCTTGAATTAATTATTATCCCCTCAATTTCTCAAAGCACTTGTTACTTTTACGTGTGGTACTTATTTGCCTGCAGTGTATATCTTTCTGTCTGGCCCTGAGCATAGTCTCTGCAGGCAGGGAACCTTAGCTACCATCTTGTATCCTCTACAGATCTCAATTTTTTATATATTATGTGTTCAATTAAGAATGACATTAAATTTAAATATAAGCAAAATAAATTAGACTTTTATACTCTTTTGCCCTAGATTTTAAGAGGGAATATTTTTGAGCCAATTAAGTTTTCACCCTGAGTTCTTTAATGAATTAAATCTGGTGACCACATACATAAAGAAGAGCATAACTCCCCTCTCCTTGAGTGTGCACATCGCAGAGTGACTTTCTTCCAAAGGAAACAGCATGAAAAGGGGAGAAGAGAGTAACTTTTCAGTGGAGAACCCAGCAAACAGTAGATGATCATGGTCAACATCAACAGTGAAAAGTCAGGTAGATAGTATGTACACTTGATCTGATGTGATGAGAATGGCACTTTACCTCTTCCTTCCCTAAACCAATAACCCCGGTCTAACCATGAGAAAAACATGCAACAAATCCCAGTTAAGGGACATTATACAAAAATATCTGACCTGTACACCTTAACACTGTCAAAGTCGTCGAAGGGAAGGAATAGCTGAGAAATCGTCGTAGCCAAGAGGAGCCTTAAGGGACATGATGACTAAATGTAATATGGCATCCTGAATGGGATCCTCGAACAGAAAAAGGACATTAGATATAGATTAAAGAAATTCAATTACAGTATGGTCTTTAGTTTATGGTAATGCATCTGTATGTGTTCATTACCATTTCATCATCAACATAAAATGTTAATAATAGGGGAAACTGGGAGTAGAGTATGTGAGAATCCTCTGTACTATCCTCTCAAGTTTTCTGTAAATCTAAACTGGATCTAAAAAAAAAAAAAAGGCTATTTAAAAAAAAGTAAAGTTGGCCATCCAAAAAGGGGGCAGGAGTGGGGAAATGTCTGCCTGAGTGAGAGCAAGCAATGAATAGAGAAGAGAGACAGTGCTTTCTGAATGAAAAACTGTTCGTGAAAAATAATATATCTGTAAAATGCTCCTTTTGTAACATTTCAGCCCTTGTATTGTCCAGTTGACCAGCATTTTCCTCTTGAGAGGTCAGGCCTTAATCAGAGTTAATAAGTTAAATAATGGTAAATTAATAGGATGTTTTCGACTTAATAAATAAATCACAAATCACTGAATTACCCAGATCAGATGGAATGTACATCTGGATAAACCCTGCTTATCTTTTACCTCTTATTTTTATTTATTTATTTTTTTAATTAAATTTATTGGAGTAACATTGGTTAGTAACATTATATAAGTTTCAGGTGCACAATTAATTCTCTAATACATCATCGGTATATTGCACTGTGTGTGCATCATCTGGGTGAATTTTTTAAAGCATTATTCAAAATCTCAATTGCCCTGGTCAGTAAGTGGTGTTATTATCCACATTCATAAAAGAGGGAACAGAGGTTACTGTACTGGGCGATTGGCAAAAGGGTGGTTGTTAGTGTGTATTGATTTTTTTCCAGATGGCCCTGGACATTGTACCGGCCAGCATACCTTTTATCCTTATTAACAGCCTGGCAAAATGCAGAGTTAAGTTATAATCATTCAAAGTGCCAAGGCAAGGAAGAAAATCTGTGGAACCACATTATGTGATAAGCCAGGCATGGATGATACTTCATTTGATTCTCATTCAGCTTGGCGAAGACGGTATTACTCCACTTTATGAATGAGGAAACTGATGTTCTGATAGGCGGCCCCACAGCTGACACGTGGTGGCGATGAGATTGAACTCTGGCTCTTGGGCTCCAAAGCCCATGAGCTCTCTGACACCCCGCACCTTTGCCCAACACAGCTGTCCCTGCATATCTGAAGCACGTCTGGTGTTTTTTAAAAATGCAAATATTCTGGCCCCATCTTCCCACTCTCTGGAGGGAGGGGTATCTCTTACTAGCTATTTTATCCTTTTTTTCAAATTGAAAAAAAAAAACAACTACCCATATATAATCCCACCATCCACAATCAACCACTGTCAACATTTTAACACGTTCACTTTCTTTTTTTCATGTATGCTTATGATTTCCAAAATTACAAATTAACGTATTTTTCTTAAAAATACAGAGAGAGAACATTAAAGATACAGCTATAGTCCTTTCTGTCCTCCCCCTCAATCCTGTCTTCCTGCAAATTTTCTAGCCAAGAAAACATTATGATGAATTTAGGAGTTTTCTTTCTGGTCCTTTAACACGTGATATCGATATTGACAAGGTATCATGTTATACACATTGTTCTGTAACCTCTTTGGGTCAGTTCAACAGAGTGACCAAGAGCACGGACTCTGGAGAGACAGGGCTGTGGCTTTGGGAGCGTTGTTTCATTTCTCTGTGCTTTAGTTTCTTATCTGTAAATGGAAATAATAATAGTGTCCACTTCAAAGAGTAGTTCTGAATATTAAATGACCGTATGCTTGTAAAACCCTCAGAGTAGTTACACATTAAGTGTTCTGTAAGAATTGCTATGTATATAGTTTTGAATGCAACGTTTTTGAGATATATATTTGTTAATACGTACAGATCAAGTTCATAAGCTTTACATTCTGAAGAGTAGTTCTTAATATGTGTACTCCACGTGGTGGCAGCTGTCTTAGCCGCTAACCACCAGGAGCCCATACAAGGCATCTTAGCTCCTCAAAGAAAAAGCGAGGTCTGCGGAGAGGGCAGACATCTATCTCCCAGCATGGCCAGGTTTCATTCCCTGCATGATCTCCTCTTTTTCTCAGATGATTAGCACCAAAGTCACCACCATCCCTTTAAGAGATGCTGTTGCTTGCTAACGGGCTTGTGGCTTTGCAGACCTCAGCTAGTAAGGCCATCAGAATGCAGCTCAGTGGGTTTGATGTTTATAACAGAGATACAGAAGTGCTGTGTTTACATGCATTGGATGGCTAGTGGGGGAAAAGGAGGAGATGTTTTAGTGAATTAGGACCTAACAATTAGGAATACACCCAAACTTCTACCTGCTCACCTGCAGATGTCCCACTGTTCTCGCAAATTGTTCTAACTTTTGATTTTTTAAAAATGCATTTATTAAAATATTTTCATAGCTCTCCAGTTTTTAGACTTCATGTCCTGTGTCTTCTTGAAAAAAAAAAAAAAAGTCTCCTGAGAGTCTTTACTACAAGTGGCTTAATAATGGGCCATAAAATTAGAAGCAGACTCCTTGGGGAAGTTGCAAAGAAGAGGTCTCCCTCCCTCCACCAGCACTCCATGGATTGCATTACTGTGTGTTCTCTAGGGAAGAGAACACGCAAATCCACAGATATAGAGAGCTCCGAAGTGCATGGGTATGCTCCATCAGCATCATTTAAGTGATGGAGACACAGAAGTGTAGATGAAGCAAACTGCCTAGACACTTGGAGCTAAAAATTGCTTCAAACTTCACCCTCTGTTTTCACCGTAGAGTGGTCTTTTGGAAACAAATGGGAAAAGCACATTCTGTTTGTCACATTCACTTCCTGTACTCTACCTCTGCCCAGATGACCACACCTTTCCCTCATCAAATATTCAGTGAGCTTATACTCTCTCATTTACGTATTCAGTTAATATTTTTTGAATATCTGCTGTCATCAAACCCTGTATAGGTGTTGGTGAGGTTGGGGTGAGCCAAGCAGTCACTCTCCAACCCCCACAGACCTTAGAAGGACTTAGGGTTCCATGCGTGTTCTTAACCCAGACTTGAGACAAAGCTGGTCAGAGGAGGCTACTTGTAGACGTAATGTTTAAGCTGAAACCTGAAGGGGTTGGCCAGTGGAGAGGCAGGGGGAAGTAAATTCCAATACGAAGAAGCAAATGACCTGAAGTGAGAGAATAAAGAAATTGTCAGTTCACAAAATCCTCAATCTGCCATTCTCAGCATTCCTGAGAACAAAGGCCGGGTTGCAGAGGGGACATCAAGGTAGGTAAGTGGTTCATTACTCTAAAGTTTGGACTTCAAGGCCTTCGCCTGACCCCCGAGCCTTGTGTTAAGGACAGGATCGAGAATGGATCACGAGGGTTGCTTTTATTCCTCTGTGGCCTTTGGTCGAGCGCGGCTGTGGGCAGTAAAATGTTTGCAGAGAACATTTCTTCTTTAATTAAAATAAGAAGAGCTTTGAGTCTCGCTGGAGCGAAAAAGCTCTTACAACTCAGATGACTTTTTCATTTTTTGTAAACCCAGAAATACAGATAGAGAACATCCATGTAACTCACTTCCTGTTTAAATAAAACATTGTAAAACTAACTAATATCCCTGGGTACTCCTTCCCCCATACACCCCCTCTCCCCCACGCCTGACCTCAGGGATAGCTATTAGTCTGAATTTAACATGTGTTATCCCCATGCATCTTTTTATACATTGTTATATATAGATATCCATTTGTGATGCATGGCATCATTTTGCAAGCTTTTAATCTTCGTAACATTGTACTCATGTTGTAACTCTCCTTTGGCAGCTTTTTTGAAGTGAGAGTAAAAACAAGAATATCTTAAGGAGAGGATAGTGAATTTGTCCATACAGTTCTTGCTCATTCACTTTCTGCTCTATATATTCCATAGTGTGGTTGTACTTTATTCATTTCCTGCTGGTGGATACTGAGGTGGTTTCCACTGTTTGTCCATACAGATGGGGCTGCACTAAA